TATATATATATATATATGTATATATATATGTATGTATGTATTTGGTATATATGAATGTAGCTTTAATAGCCAACATTTATATGTGGCTTTAAGGCTTGCAAAGCACTTCCTATTTTTTATTTCATTTTATCTTTCCACCTGTCCCCATTTTACAGATGAAGAAACAGGCCAAGAGCAGTTTTGTGACTTGCCTAGGGTCACATAGCTAGTACATATCAGAGTCAGGTCTTCCTGAGTCCATGTCCAGCATCCACTATACTGTGACTGTATGAATGTGTATGGATATGTTTATGTACTTGTGTGTTTATTATGTACATATGATTACCTTCCAGCTAAAATTGCTCTGCCATCAAGTTTCCGTGGAGCATTTTGTTTGGAATTCTTTCTCTTTCTCACTTTCTCTGATGTGCTATTTGTATCCTTATCCATTGGATTGAAAGCTCCTTGAGGACAGGGACTGTCATTTTTCATCTTTGCATTCCTGGGATTTAGCATAAGAATTTTTAAGTAGTAGATACTTATTATGTAAATTTTTGTTGAATTAAATTGACTGAGGTAGTCATCTAGGGCATGGTGGATAGAGCACTGGTTGTGCAATCAGGAAGACCTGAGTTCAGTTTTGGCCTCAGTTATTAGCTGCGTGACCCTGAGCAAGTCACTTAATCTCAGTCGGTCTCAGTTTCCTCTTCTGTAAAATGAGGATAATAGCACCTAACTCCCAAAATCATTGTGAAGATCAAGTGAGATATTTGTAAAGCACTTCACAAACTTTAAAGCACTACATAAATCCCAGTCAATATTATTCTCATCATTGTTGTTGTTACCATTATTATGCATGTATGAGTGTAATCATAGAATGTTAGAGCAGAGCAGGATCTAGGAGAGCATTTGTTCTAATCCTCAGTATATAAATGAGGAAGCTGTAGACCAGAGAAAGGAAGGGAGCCCAGTTAAATAGTGAGTCAGTGGCAGATTATGGGATTTATATAGCAATAAAAAACTTTTCTATAAAATGAACATCTTTGATTTAGTACTGTAATTTTCTGCAGTGGAAAGATAATTGAATTTGGACCAGAGGGCCCGAATTTAAAAGCTGTCGTTGCCGCTTATTACTGCGTCACCTTGAAAGTCACTGAAGCTCACTGGATCTTACTTTTCTCATCTATACTATGAGGGGGTTAGACCAGACGACTTCTAAAGATTTCTTCCAACTCTTTATCTATGATGTGACAACACTGTGGACTGGGGCCCTTCTGACTCCCTGCTCCGAGCGAAGTATGAGTGTTGCTACATATGCATTGAAAGGTATTCCTGTTGATGGTGTTTGTGATCTCTGTGTGTCTGTGTCTGAAAAAGACAGATGGATGACTAATGACCTTTCCACACCAAATTACCTAGGGACCACGAGGAAAACTGATAGGCGTGGACAGGGAACCTAGAGACTAGAAACACAATTTTCATCAATTCTGAGTTAAAGGGTGATTGACTGGGATCGACTGTCTCGCTTCTTTATGTGTTTGGTTCCATGATAATGCTTTAAGGCACCATGTCACATTGATGTTCGTGATGTGTCTCTTATCGCTGGCATTTTTCATGTTCCTTTTGGCTGCTATTTGTAATTGAGTATCTTGTAATAAAACAATTAAAGACATTTAGATGCGGAAGGGGCCTCCGAGATCACAGCATCTTAGAGTTGGAACAGACCACAGAGGCCACAGAGTCTTAAGTTTTCCAAGACAGGTGATCCCTCTGCAGTACTCCTGGCCAGTGGTCACTCTGGGGAAAAGAACAAGTCTACTGCCTCCTAAAGCTGGCCGGTTCATTTTGGACAGCTCTTATCTGCAGGGTATTGTAGGACACTGTAGGATGGTTTTCCCTATCTGGAGCCTAATTTGTCGTGGCCTCTCTGAAAGTTCTACCTGTTGTCCCTAGTTCTGCCTTCTCAAAACCGAGCCACCTTCTAGTTATCTAGTCCAGTCTCTCCTTTTCAAGAAGAAGAAACTGAGGCATAGAGAGGCTTACTAAAGATTTCCCAGCTATGAGATGGTGGAGCCGTGAATGAAACCCAGGTGGCCAGGTTTCTTTTTGGTGTCGTTCAGTTGTATCAATCGTGTCCGACTCTTCGTGACGCCATGTGGGGTTTTCTTGGCAGAGATATTGGACTGGTTTGCTTTTCCTTCTCCAGCTTATTTTACAGATGAGGAAACTGAGGCAAACAGGGTCAGGTGCCCAGGGTCACACAGCTAGTGCCTGAGGCTGGATTCCAGGCCAGCACTCTGTGCACTATGGCGCCACCTAGCTGCCCTGTGCTCGTTCTACCAGATCCTCGAATGCTAGAATAGGAAGAGACCTCAGAAGTCAGTACAACCTATACCTGTGCATGAATTGCATCTACAAGGCTGCTTGGTGGCGCAGAGGACCTGGAATCAGCAAGACCTGAATTCAAATGCTGCCTCATATACGTATTGCCTGTGTGACCCTGGACAAGTCACTTTAAAAAACCCCTCTGTTGGCCTCAGTTTCCTTAACTGTAAAATGAGGGTAATAGTAATACACCTGCATCCCTGGGTTGTTGTGAGGATATTTATAAAGCACATTGTAAACTTTAATGCCAGCTAGCTAAAAGAATAACCTGATTAAACAGATTCTGTGATGGGATTCTCACTGTCTTTCAGAAACATCCCATTTTGGTTTTTGATGGGTTTGATTGTAGGAAGTTCAGTATGTTAAAGGAAATACAATTCCTTATACCATGCCCCCTCCATGCTGTTTCCCAATTGCTCCTAGTCCTGTGCTCTGGAGCTAAGCATAAGGTAGAGTCAGTCCCCTTTTTGCCTGACAGCCATTCCAGTATAGTCATCAAATCCAGCCAGAACTACTCCTTGGGACTAATCATTTGGCCAGTTCTGAATCTTTCACACAGGCAGTCAGATGTCTGACTGCCATCCAGAGCTTTCCACAGAGCTGGAAGGATCATTTTGCCTCTCTGACCTTCAGATTCCTCACATGCAAAAGGTGGAGGAGGAAGGAACGACACTATTCTTGTGATCTCCCCCTGTCCCACCCAGAGTTGCAATGAGGAAAGCCCTTTGTAGCTTGTGGAAGCACTAGAGAAGTGGGCACTTTTATTATTAGGGCCAAACTGTGGCCCTGTTTAGGGCTAAGCATTTGCGCAGGCCCATAGATTCACACACAGCCTTCTGTGAAAATGGTTTGGGAGGGAGAAAGAAAACAAGATGGAGACCTCTAATGTACCATGTCACCACTTTTTTTTTTGTAAATAGTATTTTATTTTTTCCAATTACACCTATTTTTCAACATTCTTTTTTAATAAGATTTTGAGTTTCACATTTTTCTCCCTCTTTCCCCAAGATGGCAAGCAATCTGATATGGGTTGAAAATGTGCAGTCATGGAAACATATTTCCACGTTAGTCATGTTGTGAAAAAAGAAACAGAACAAAAGGGAAAAGCCACCAAAAAATGAAAATAGCATGCTTCAATCTGCATGCAGACTCCATAGTTCTTTCTCTGGATGTGGATAGCATTTTCCATCAGGATTCTTATGGAATTGTCTTGGATCACTGTGTTGCTCAGAAGAGCTAAGTCAATCATAGTTGATCATTGCACAGTGTTGCTGTTGCTGTGTACGATGTTCTCCTGGCTCTGCTCACTTCACTCGGCATTAGTTCATGTAAGTCTGTCCAGGTTTTTCTGAAATCCACCTGCTCATCATTTGTTATAGCACAATAGTATTCCATTACATTCATATACCACGACTTGCTCAGCCATTCTCCAGTTGATGGTCATTCTCTCATTTTCCAGTTCTTTGCCACCACAGAAAGAGCTGCTGTAAATATTGTTGCACATGTGGGCCTTTTCCCTTTTGTATGATCTCTTTGGGATACAGACCCAGTAGTGGTGTTGCTGGATCAGAAGGTATGCACAGTTTGGTTGCCCTTTGGGCATAGTTCCAAGTTGCCCTCCAGAATGATTGGATTGGTTCACAACTCCTCCAACAATGCATCAGTGTCCCAGTTTTCCCACATCTTTTCCGTTTATCATTTTCCCTTTTCTGTCATATTAGCCAATCTGATAGGTGTGAGATGGTACCTCAGAGTTGTTTTAATTTGCATTTCTCTAATCAATAGTGATTTAGAGCTTTTTTATGTGACTATAGGTAGCTTTAATTTCTTCATCTGAAAACTGCCCGTTCATATCCTTTGACCATTTATCGGTTGGAGAATGACTTATGTTCTTATAAATTTGACTCACTTCTCTCTACATATTGAGAAATGAGGCCTTTATCAGAAACACTGGCTATAAAAATTGTTTCCCATATTTCAGTTTTCCTTCTAATCTTGGTTGTATTGGTTCTGATTGTACAAAACCTTTCTTAATTTAATGTAATCAAAATTATCCATTTTGCTTTTTGTAATGTTCTCTATCTCCTGTTTGGTCATGAATTCTTCTGTTCTCCATAGATCTGAAAGGTAAACTATCCCTTGTTCTCCTAATTTGCTTATGGTATTACCCTTTATGTTTAAATCATGCACCCATTTTGACCTTATCTTTGCATATGATGTGAGATGTTGGTTTCTGCCTGGTTTCTGCCATACTCTTTTCCAGTTTTCCTAGTAGTTTTTGTCAAATAGTGAGTTCTTATCCCAGAGGCTAGAGTCTTTGGGTTTATCAAACAGTAGATTACTATAATCATGTACTACTGTGTCTTGTGTACCTAGCCTATTCCACTGATCTACCACTCTGTTTCTTAGCCAGTAGCAAATAGTTTTCATGATTGCCGCTTTATAATACAATTTTAGATCTGGTATGGATAGGCCACCTTCCTTTGCATTTTTTAAAATTCCCTTGATATTCTTGATCTTTTGCTCTTCCAGATAAATTTTGTTATTTTTTTCTAGCTCTATAAAATATTTTTTTGGTAGTTTGACATGTCACCATTTTTAATGAAGGGATTTCTTGTTTGTTTTTCTGTCTACAGCTGACATTATTTCTACAGTCGAGTTCAACCACACGGGAGAACTGCTGGCCACTGGGGACAAGGGGGGCCGGGTTGTTATATTCCAAAGGGAACCAGAGGTATGTAGCTTGGGGCCTGGTCAAGTATTTGGGGTGGGAAGGGAAGTGCATGGAGGAAGTATACAGTCTAATTCTTCTTGTTATGCAGAGGCGTTCTTGATACTCTGCAGAACATTTGTTTCTTAAAGCCCCCTTTCCACCCCACCTGTGACTTGGTCAAGCTCCTTCCCTTTCTATGCCAATTTTTCTAACTCTAAATCAGGGATACGAATACCCACTCTTCCCTACTTTTTTGGTGAAGTAAGATTGGGTAGCTGTGCCAGAATTGGCCTCAGTTGTTTTTTTTTTCTAAAGCTCTGAAATAAGGATAATAATACCTGCCCATCACTGTGTCACTGAGATGTTAGTAGAAAAAAATAAAAACAAAGTTAAAAAAGTGTTAAAAATGGTAAACAAAAGGATTGAGAATGGAGCTTGGCATATGTTTCCCTCTCTATTGTGAGGTTGTGCATCTGGACCTCCAAACATATCCTTAGGATGAAGGGACACAGTCTTAGTGCCAGCACTGTTAGCCTAAATCAAGCCAAAGTCATTTCTGAAAGTACATGATAGATTTAGCCTTTACCAAAACACTGACCCCTTGGGAATGGTTCCAGGTACTACCACAAGATAGTAGGTGCCAGAGGAAGGGAGATAACATATATACATTCTCTCTAGCATCTTCCCCCCCTCCCCTTTTTTAAACTATTCCAAGGAAAGAGTTAGGAACTGGGCCTGTGATTTCACTGATAAACTCCCTCTCCAAAAGCAGGTCAGCACCTTCTCTGAAACTTAATGTCTTAATGTCTTGAGGTGGGGTGGGGACTGAAAAGGGTCACACAGCCAGTAAGGGGTTCTCAGCTCCAAGGAATAACTATCCACTGTGCTATGTTACCTCTTGTCTCAGGGATGGAACGTATACATATACACACATCAGAGGAATTTCTCCTTTGGAAACTCAGACAATGCATCAGTGCTTTCCTAGTGCTCTGGAGGCTCACCAGGGTCTGTGTTTGCCTCTGTGGACAAATGTTAAGTCCTTTAAAGGCACTCAAATGGGCCAGCTTAGTTAAGTCCACTGGGCCTGCTACCAAGCCCTTCTTCATGCTTACACATCCCAGATTACACCTTCCCATGCTGCTCACCACAACAGCAGTGTGCTGTAACCTAACTAAAATAGCCCCTCTGATCTCTACCACTCCAGCGATGAATCAGGCACTTGGCACAAATAATAGTCTGAGCTTTCCTACACCCACATACAGTGGTGCTTACTGCTTTCCCTGATGTGGCAGCCGTAATTTTCTTCTCTGCCTGTTGAAATCCTCCCTTCCTTTAAGACTCATCTCCTATGCTACCTGTTCCATGAAGTTTGCTCTGGCAAACTTGATCTTTTCCTTCCCATATTTCCTATAGTGCTCCATCTAGACCTCTTCTTTGTCTTTATAATGTTCTGCATTGGATCATGCTTATGTATAAATGTGGCCTGTTTCTTTTCCTCAAATTATATAACAACTCCTTGATGACAGAGACTGTATAATTTTTTTTATCTTTGTATGCCTGTGCCTAGCATAATGACTGGTGCAATATTCTTGAATAAATAGCTGAATGAATATTCAACCTCTGGACCTAGTATCAACCTACTGTTGTTCTTAACTTCAACCTTGTTAAAATAGCAAAGCAGGAGAATACTGCTGCCTACATGCTTGGTATTTCAGTTGACTCCCATTTAGGACGAGACTTTGAAAATCTCAGATGGTTGACTTGTATTCTTTAATATATGATAAATATTTAACAACCCCCTCCCCGAAGATCTGTGCAATATTATTTCTCCTTTGTATGCAAAGAAATCACCAGGTGACTTCTACTCCCTACCTCAATCGTTTTGGGTAGGATCTTTTGGGTTCCTAGGAGAGCCTTTTAATACATATGTTAAAGCCTCCCAATAGGGGACATGTGGCATGATGACATCAGCACTGGAGTTAGAGTCACAGGACATGGGTTTTAATTCCATCTTCACTACTTACCAGTATGATTTTGGGAAAGTCACTTTACTTCATTAGGCCTCGATTTTTTCATCTGTAAAATGAGGGGAGTCAGTCTTGATGATCCTTAAGATCTCCTTTAGCTCAGAATCCTGGGATTTTCCTGAAATGGGACAATTTTAATATGGGTTTACCTACTTATAGATTGTTATGTGAGACTGGGTCAAGAGAAAAAGATTGTCTTAGGGTTTAAATATAATTTTCTTAATTTGGGCGTTTTTTCTTAAAACTCAGATTCCACCTCTGATACTTCTTAGTTATGTGATCCTAGTTCAGGGGTGGGGAACCTTTGGCCTTGAGGCTACATGTGGCCTTCTAGGTCCTTGGGTGTGGCCTTTTGACTGAGTCCAAGTTTTACAGAGTAAATCCTTTTATTAAGGGGATTTCTTCTGTGAAGTTTGGATAAAGTCAAAGGTCCGCACTGGAGGACCTAGAGGGCCACATGTAGCCTCCAGGCCACAGGTTCTCCTCCCCTGCTAGTGTCTCAGACAACTCCTTAGGACTTATCTACGAAGTCATAGATGGATGCAGTCTGCATCAGTGGTTGGAATATCACACATCTTCCATATATTTACAAATATACCTATCTATATATCCTCTATGAATACGCATATGTACTTAAATATAGCTGGTTAACAAGTCTAGTCAACAAGCATTTATTAAATGCCCACTGTGTACCAGGCACTGTGCGGTCACAAACATAGTTCCTGCCAATAAGGAACTCACAATCTAATGGTGGCAGACAACATGAAAACAGCTATGTATGGGAAAGATATTCAGGGTAAATTGGGGGTAATCTTAGAGGAAAAGAATAAAATGTGACTTAAAAAAAAAAGAATCAGGGGCAGCTAGGTGGCATGGAGTCAGGAGGACCTGAGTTCAAATCTGGCCTCAGACACATGATACTCATTAACTGTGTGACCCTGGGCAAGTCACTTAACCCCAATTGCCTCGCGCCCCCCCCAAAAAAAAAGGAATCAAAGGATATTAAAACTAGAAGGTACTTCAGAAATCAACCAGTCCTGATCCCTCTTTCTACAGATGAGGAAACTGATGCCTGGAATTTTGAAGTTATTTGGCCAAGATCACACATATCATAAGGAGTAAAACAAAAATTTGAACACTGATTTTCCAACTCTAAATCATGTGCTTTTCCCACAGTATTTAAAGCTGGGCCTGAAGTCAGACACTTAGTAGCTGTGTGACACTGGGCAAGTCACTTAATCCTGTTTGCCTTAGTTTTCTCATCTGTAAAATGAGCTGGAGAAGGAAATGGCAAACCACTCTAGTATCTTTGTCAAGAAAATGCCAAATGGGGTCACAAAGAGTCAGACATGACTGAAAAGACTGAAAACAAAAGTTTTAAAACAATCATTTTTTAAACATTAATTTCTTTTTAACTCACACTCATTGAAATGAATGCATTTGATTGAATAAACCTCATTGATCTGATAACTACTTGGGTGCCTGTAGGCATGTCATTTCCCGTGCCTTGGGCTTTGGTTTCATCTGCTATATAATAAAGATGTTGGACGAAATGACCTGGAGTCCCTTCCAGTTCTGACCTTCTATATTCTAAGGTTCCTTCCACCTCTAATATTCATTGGATCCAACCTCTTTGCATTCTAATTTTAGCTCTTCAGGGGCAGCTCTTCTGTGTCAATTTACAGACAGGATGGTTTCTACATCTATCTGAGAACACACATGGATTTCATTTTCTAAAGGAGAGTTATTTGCCAGTGAGGATAATGATCATTTTGCTCTTTTCCAGTCATCATGATTGCTTGTCAGCCAACTAAGACAGGCTAGGATACGGATGATATTTGATATGACACTGGAACATCTCTGTAACAGTATTTACCATAGAGCCAATTATGCATGCTGCATTCAGGGAGAAAACAAAATGAGACAGGACCCCCTTAGATCCCATCCTGGGAATTTAGATCCTAAAGTCTGAAAAGACCTCATTCTCCATATGTGCTTTCACTGTTATGATGAAGTTTCAAGTACAGGTGAAATAGATGGGACAAAATAGTTGGTAGGATTTTTTCCTTGTATTTTTGCAAACCCAGTCCCTTCTCTCACAGACATCACATTCATGTGGGGAGACAACATGGAAAGGACCAGTTATATGTAAGATATGTACAGAGTAGCCCGACCTAGGAAGGTGATTTTGGAGGGGATGACATTAGCAGCTGGGAGGATCAGGGGATCTGAGATGAGCCTTGAAGGAAGTCAGAGAAGCTAAGAGGCAGAGGTGAAGGAGCAGAGCATTCCAGGCATAGGGGATAACAATGCAAAGGAATGGGAGATGGGATGTTCAAAGAATGGCAAATAGGCTTTTGTAGCTGGATCATGGCGTAGGTGAAAGGGAATAAATAAAGTGTAAGGAGATGGGATACATAGAAAGCAGTCTGCTTGTGATCAGCCTTAAATTACAAACAGAGGGTTTTATGTGTGATCCTAGAGGGAATAGGAGCTCTTTAATCACAGGAGTGATATAGTTAGACCTGTGCTTTAGAAAAATCATTTCGACAGGTGAGTGGAGAATGGATTGGAGAGGGCAGAGATTTGAATCAGGGAGGATATTTAGAAGGCTGTTGCAGGATGCTAAAGCCTTGAATTAGGGCTGTGGCTGCATGAGTGGGGAGAAGGTCACGCATATGAGAATGGAAAGATGCGGCGAAGGATCATGTATGTGAGTGATGTGAAAGGCCAAGATAACACTAAGTAAAGAAAAAAAGAAGATTCTCCTGAAGTAGTTACATCCTAACTGGCAAGTCACTTGAGATCTCTGTGCCTTATTCCTCATCTGTAAAATGAGGTTAGACTAGACCATCTCTGAAGTGTCTTCCACTTCTGAAGCTAAGGCTGTGAGGCTCCATTTTAAAAACTTTTGAAATTCTGATTTGTGTAATTGAACCACATGGAAAATTGTACCTAATTGCATGTTTGACAGTATCAGGTGCTTTGTGTTGACAATGTTTCATGGACCCACATCCGTAAATGCCCAATTGTCCTGATGCCATAAGAGACCCTTTATTTTTCTGGTGTTTCCTTCTTCTCAGAGTAAGAATGAGCCTCACAGCCAGGGCGAGTACAATGTTTACAGCACTTTCCAGAGCCATGAGCCGGAGTTTGACTATCTGAAGAGCTTGGAGATAGAAGAGAAAATTAACAAGATTAAATGGCTTCCCCAGCAGAATGCAGCCCATTCTCTCTTGTCCACAAATGGTAAGGCCAGGGAACTGGCATGCAGATTGTCAGCCTATTCCCTTACTTTTCGTAATCTGCAGTGTTACTACTACTCTTCATAGCCTTCAGTGTTAATTTGAAAGTGATTCTTTGATTGTTATGCAGCCTGTCTACCACTTAATATCCACCAGTAATTAGTAAATGAATGATTTCCTTTGTTAATACTTTAATATTTCTGCATTTGTTAGAAATAATGTGATACTTGGAGTTAGCCAGGCACTGTGAGGGGGGCTGAGATATGAAGACAAAAAAAAATGTAATAATCCTTGACCTTCAGAACTTTACATTGTGTTGGAAGAGGGGCGGAAGGCCAGGGTGATATTAAGGGAAGGATTATCTTTATCACCTCTTGTCTGGCAGTCATACCCTGCCAGTACAATATTTCCCTACACTTTAGAAGGGGAGTCCCTTGATGGAGACCCCATTGCCACACCTACAGAAAGCCCTCATGGGCATCAATAGAGAGATAATTTGTGTGGATGTTAATTATGGCATACAAAATTGGAAAATATTGATTTATCTTTTGGAGAGAAAGGACAGAGAAGACACTATGTAAAGTGAGTGAAACCAGTTGGTTTTGGTAATCTCGATGAAATTTGCCCTTCATTGCCTTATTGGGGTATAGGAGGCAGGGCTCTGGATTCATAGAAGGTATGCTAGCATTGTGGAAGTTCTGTGGACCCTCTAAGCTAGGAAAACTTTAAATATGGCTCAGGAACAGCCTAGCTTGAATGTGAAAAAGCTCACCATCAGGAGATGAGTGGTTTGGGCCCAGAAATTTATGAAATCATCTACCAATGTATAGAAGGGTTATGATCTTCATTGCTAAAGGGAACCCTCAGGCAAATAAGATCACAAGTCCTTAATGTATTGAAAAGTAAGATATTGTTTAATAGATGAAATAAATAATAAGATTGGCTTCAGGATACCCCTGTCATGGAGGCATCCATAAAACCAACTGAGAAATAGTGACACCTATCATTGTCCTGGGGAAAGGATGCCAGAATTCAAGTCAGAGGACCTAGCTTTGAATCCTTAATGTGTTACCTGTACAACCTGGGGCATGTCATTTACATCATATGGCCTTGTTTTTTCATCTGTAAATTGGGTGGATTTGATTCAGTGATTTCTGTGGTCCCTTCCAACTCTAAATCCATGATCCTAAAATGTTAAAAAGATTATCTGATAGAAGTGAAAGATGGGTATTTAAGTGCTGCTGTTAATGACTCTTTTTTAGATAAAACTATCAAATTATGGAAGGTTACTGAACGTGATAAGAGGCCTGAGGGATATAACTTAAAAGATGAAGAAGGAAAACTCAAAGACCTGTCTACAGTGACATCACTACAGGTAAGAAAGGGGCCATAAGTACTCCAGGAGAAAGCAGGGATGTTGACATCCTTTTCTTTTAGAAAGTTAGAGTTGAAAGGGACTTTGGAATGTAGGCTACGAATGTAAGACCTTTGAAGGATTGTAACAATTACCTGCTACAATTAACCCTTCATTACCCAGACCTAGCAACTGAGGCCAGTAACAGGGAAGTAACTTACCCAAGGTCACACTTAGTTAAAGCCAAAACTAAGACTTAGAATTTATCAAATAAGTATGCAGCTGGGCTCAACCGAGGAGCTTGATAACTGGTAATCTTCTACTTTTTTTCTTGTTGTTTAATTAAACTGTAGTTTTCTTGTACTCACAGTCCATCCCCACTTACAAATGTAGTCCTACTTTTTATCCTAATAGAGCTGAGTTAGATACGAGACTCCGTCTTGTATAACAGCACATGTAATAACAACAATGATCTTTCCCGTTTCATGGCATTTTAAGATTTCCAAAGAATTTTCCTCATGATAACCCTGTTGAGGTTGGTTGTACAAGTATTATTTTTTTTCTGATTTATAGACCAAAAAAACCAAGGTTTTGAGAAATTATCTAACTTGCCAACGTGGCTAATATGGAAATATGTTTTGCATGGCTGCACATGTATAATCTGTATCAAATTGCTTGCCTTCATAAGAAGAGGAGAGAGGAAGGAGGGTGGGAAACATTTGGAATTAAAATTTTTTTTAAAATGTTAGAAAAGAAATTATGAATTAAATAAATCAATACGCAATTAAAGTAACAGAAAAGCCTCCATTAAAAACAAACAAACAAACAAACAAACAGAAAAACCAAAGAACAAAAACCTAACTTGTCTGTGGTCACCTCATTAGTAAGTCCCAGAGCCAGGCTGCAAACCCAGGTTCCAGACTCTAAGCTGAACCCCTTTTTCTCTATACTAAATCAGCTTTATTTAAGGCTGAGTTGCAAAGGAGGAAAATCTGTCTTCAGAACCTCTTAATTCCCTCACATCTACAAGATATTCAGTGATTTTAGGTTGCTTGAAATCCCTCACCTAGCTATTCTGGAACCTCCCTGCCCATCATCATACCCATCAAAATTTGCCTTCTCTATTTTCCATTCAGAGCTCATCAGGCATAGAACTTAGAAACTTAGAAAAACCATCCAGTTTCTTTATATTACAGATGAGGAAACTGAGGACCAGAGAAAGGAAATGATGAATAAAGTCACACAGTTAGTGAAGCCTAGTGCACTACCCTTTTGACCACAAAACATCGTCTCCATAACCTTGAGAGTCTTCCAGGCTAATTGTTCTAATAATTACTTCTTACTAAGGTGATAAGGACTATGTGTATCCCTTTACATGAAAAGGGCTGTTCATTGTCTTTACTGGAAGAAAGGAGTAGTGATTGAATTTTAGGTGTATTAAAGGAGAGATTTATGTCCTGAAGGTTGCTGAGGTGCCTCAAATTAGCACCACTTGCTCTGTTTTGATGATGTGTAAGACTAGAGGAGTGATTTAATGAGACAGTTCTGTTCCCCATAGAGAGGCAGAGATTAAATCTCTGTGTATTGACAGACTTCTTCTTTTGTGGAGAAGCACTTTAGCAGGCCATTGAGATGCCACTTATATCCTCCGTGGAGAAATTGTAATCTAATTAGGAGCCCAGGTTTTGTGGTTGGATCTTAGAAACTATGCACATTCCTAGGCTCAGATAGGATAAGTTTGAGTGATCGTAAATATAAAACTGTATTCACTATTGTCCTTGGAAAAGCAAAATCAATGTGTAAGCATGTTGGCTGAAAAAAATTACCCACAAAAATTGTGTGAAAGCTAGTACATAAATGCCAATGATTTTGATGGAAGCATGGCCTAGTATCTAGAAAGCAGGCCATAGAGTCAGCCTTTGACAAACTGAGTAACCACAGATAGTCATCCTAACCTCTAGTGGAAGGCGCAGTTATAGTCATTGCAAAGGTTGCAAAGATTGAGACCTGGTCTCTGCTTTCATGGGTTTTTTAAATCTGCAAGTGGAAATAGTGTCAGTAAGGTAGTTGGTGAAGTCACCAGCTAATATTGATTAAGGGAAGGGTAAAACTGGGGCTTGAAAAGGTCTTAGCATAGCCCCTGGGGTGAATTTGGTGGTGAAGTAACTGGAAATGAATAAAAGGAGTAAGTAGCTGTCCGAGGCCCCTCTGCGGATAAATGATGTGGATATGTGATGACACCAGTTGGCACAGTTGCCCATGGTTTTAGTTTGGACTAGGCAGGTTTGGTAGAAGGACAGGGTCATGGGGGAGCGACAGGTATCCAGGATGGGTTGGTAGGAGGCTAGGGAATAGATCACAACAGAGGGGAAGGGTATCAGGACTGGAGGTATTAGTGGAGAGAGTGAATTTGATAGGAGTGAAATGAGAAGACAAGTGTTTGGAGGGTCAGGTAGCCAGCTTGAAAAGTCTGAGGGCAGCATGAACGGTGTTCCAGCCATTGAAAGTTTTATCAATTGGCACCTACTAGCTCAGCGCAGTGCCACAGTGATTATTGTGTTTCCTTGTGTAGGGTTGGGGCTATCAGAGTGATACCCCCAATCTCCAGAGCTCTCTGCCACCTAACGTCATTCCTCCTACATAACCACAGCTACACTTCTATTTCCCTTAATTAGGCCCTTGTTTGACCCTTCATTTGTTAAGATATTTCACAGTCTGAGCTTCAAGCGAAGGGAACAAGTTTATATTAAGCAGCTTCGGGTGCCAGGCACTGTGCTGAGTGCTTTACAGATATTATCTTGTATGTGATGATTAGGGAGGGAAAAGGAGCTGGCATCAGCCCTTTCTTGGGAGAGCAAGTATACCTGAAAGCTTAACCAACCATTCCTGGGAGGGATGAATGTTCTCTCTTTCCCTTTCTGAAGTAGGAATCTTCTACCCATGGCTGCTTCCTTTCATCAAAGCAGGAATGGAGACATGCCAGTGGTTAAGGTCCCTGTAACCTTTTTAATTAACAGTCAAATACAAATAAGGCCTAGCTGTCTCCCCTCTGATCCACACTGACTGTATGGCCCCTGGGCAAACCACTTAACCTCTTAGTGCCCCAAGCAACTCTCTAAGACTAAGAATTATAGAGAAGGTACCAGCCTGCATTGGTAGAGTTTCCCTGCCTGTGAGCTCACTATATGAATGAGATCACAGGTCCATTCCCCATCCCTATAATGAGAGAGGAATTGCAGTCAATTTATATGAATTGGATTAGTTCCAAGGGAAGATGAGGTCCAAGATAAGGCACAGTTCACCAGTACCCAGATCGGGGAGGTGTTTGGCAAGGTACAATAAAGGAAGCTTCAAAATAGGGCTATTTATAAATAAACATACCTTTTATGTCCCTTTCCCCAAATTCTCTTCATGGAAAAAAAGCATTCATTTTATGATAAATCTAGTTGTCTTCCATTGCTGTCCTTCTTCAGCATCTCATTGTAATTTGGAAGTGATCTTGGATTCTTGCTGCTTGTAGAGTATGTATAAGAATGTGTTTTCCTCATGTGCATCCTAGGTTGAAAGTTGCAAACACTGCCCCAGTAAGGTTATTAACTGCTATAGCATCTATTCACATTTTCACACTTTAATTAAAGATAATATTCCTACCCTCTAGGAGCCTATTTTGAGGGGGAAGATCTCAGTATCTTCCAGAGAGGTGAGTCATTACCTGTCCACCAGGTGCTGCAGCCAAAGAAGTTCATCACTTGGTGGCCAAGTGAGTGCCTTCTACTGCATCCTCCTCTCTGACACTTCTCTCTGCTTATTCCCTGGGACAGGTGCCTGTGCTGAAGCCCATGGATCTGATGGTGGAGGTCAGCCCCCGGAGAATCTTTGCCAATGGTCATACTTATCACATCAACTCCATTTCCGTCAATAGCGATTGTGAGACTTACATGTCTGCAGATGACCTCCGAATTAACCTCTGGCACTTAGCAATCACGGATAGGAGCTTCAGTATCCTTTGTGATGATCACCTATACAAACACGAGTAAAGCGATTCAGGCTCAGAACCAGTGGGACACTGGTCCTGATGCTAAAAAAAAGCGTTTGATTTCACAGAGGGAGGTTTTGCCTTTAACATGCTTGAAGTCTAGCTGATTTCAATGGCCAATATTCCTTGTCCAATTCTTTAAGCAGTACTTCCCCTCTCCAAGCCCTTACATGAATCAGTCCTGGACAGAGCATTTTGCCAATCAGTCAATAAGCATTTATTGGCACCTACTCTTTGCCAGCCACTATGCTAAGCACTGGGGATGTAATAACAGATATGAAATAATCTTTGTCCTCAAAAAGTGTTCATTCTAAAGAGGGGAGACAACATATGCACACATATAAGAATATAGAATTTACATACAGTCTTAGAAGAGGCATTGGTAACCTGGAGCATGACGAGGGGTCTGGTGATCATGTCATAATGAGGATCAGTTACAACAATACAGTACCACATTTATGAAGTGCTTACTGCATATCTGCAGAGCACGCTGCTGACATTAAGGAGAGAAAAAGTCTAAATAAGACATGCTACCTGCCCTTGTATAACTTACCATTCAGTAAAAGGGATAAGGCACAAACTCAACGATAAAATGTAATGTTATGTGGTAAATGCCTTAGAGAAGTGCTATATGAAGGCTGTTAGGAAGAGCTTCCTGGAGGTGGCTTAGTCAGTCAGTTGGGTCAGAAAACATGGTTACAAATTCAGTTGTTCAGTTGTGTCCAACTTTTCATGACCCTGTTTGGGGTGGCAGAGATACTGCAGTGGTTTGCCATTTCCTTCTCCAGCTAATTTTCACTAGGAAAAGAAGGGGATGCAAGGCATTTCAGGTATAGGGAACAGCTTATAGAAGAGAACAGAGTAGAATTGAATAGAATAACATTTTAATGGGAAGGGACATTGATGATCACCTGGGTTCCACCCTCTCATTTTATAAGTGAGAAAAGCCACCGAAATTTTGTGACATGCCTAGGGCCAGACAGCTGTGTAGGTAGTAGCAGAGTTGTCATTAGAATTCAGGTCTCTGTGACAGTAATTAATACTTCCCTCCACCCACCCACCTTTTTCCTCCCCCCCAAAAATTATTCCAGTGGCGCTAAGAAGGGTATATTGAGCTAATTTTGCTAGGCTTGGGAGGGCAGAACTTCAGTGAGTGGGTAGGAGATATAAGAAAGTAGATTTCTGTTCAGTGTAAGGAAAATTTCTTAATTATTTGAAGTATCCAAAAGGATAATGGTTTCCTTCAAGAAGTAATGAGCTGTAGTAGTTAGGTGGCGCGGTGGACAGAGCACCGGCCCTGGAGTCAGGAGGACCTGAGTTCCAATCCTGCCTCAGACACATAACACTCACTAGCTGTGTGACTCTGGGCAAGTCACTTAACCTCAATTGCCTCACATGAAAAAAAAAAGTAATGAGCTTACCCTGGGAGTCTGCAAGGAGATGCTTTATGTACTGTTGCTGATGACCATTGTATATCAGATTATTACTTAGATATGGGTTGAACTAGAGCAGGGCTCCTTAAACTTTTTTGGTGTCCTAGACCTCTTAGGCATAAGGACCATTTGTGAGAATCATGTTTTTAAATGCAGAAAATAAAATTCATAGGGTCACAAAGGAAATTTATTATATGGAAGTACTGTTACCACAATATTTAAAAACAAAACAAAACAGTTTCATGGACCCCAGGTTAAGAACCCCTGGACTTAATGATCTCTGAGGTCCTTTCTAGACCTAAAATAGTGACCTATCGTATCTTCTATTTTCCCACATAAAACTCTACAAATATTCGAAGTCACTGATTATGCTTCAGTAAGTCCTCTTTTCTGTAGGCTAAACAGGGCGACTTTTTCAGCTCTACCTTTTATGACATGATTTTGAGCCCTCTCATCATCCTGTTTTTTCTCCTCTGAACATCCTCCAGTTTGTCAAGCATTCATCCTCAAACACAAATTTGCCTTAGAATGCAAAGCAGATTTATTTTTCCAAACGCTCTGTATGTTTTTCAAGTAATGAAAACCACCACCTTCCCAGAATTGGAGGGTTTAATTCTGTGCAGTTCAGTAAAGGGTATGGCTTGCTCAAGGCTTCAAGAATACTCCTGAGAATTTAGGTGACTTCGACTGAATTTCTCTTGACATTAAAAGGTAAAAGATAGATCAAACTACATCTAATTCTCCCTAGGCGAAATCTCTGGGGTGGTAAGGCTCTGAAGGGAAAATGGGTTTAAGTACCTTCATAGGCTTCATTAAGAAAACAGTTTGCTATCTGGAAAAGCAGGAGAATATATTCTTCTTGCCCTTTTCTGACAAGATCCTGTCACTGGGTAAAGGGAAATGCTAATTGCTCTGTTTGGTTACTAGGTTGTTAACGCTGCACAAATGGAGGGTTTTGGGTTTTTTTTTTTAGTATCAAGATTCTTCTCACTAACCCCTCCAACTACCAAGAGGCATTTTGTCCTCAATGCTGGGTTTATTTCTTGAAAGTAAGACCGTACAGTATAGAATGTCCTACCTGGAAGGCATCTGGAGACATAGAATATGATTGAAAAAGAATAATTCACATTTATGTAGCTCTTAAAAGTTTACAAAACATTTTCCAAATGGTAGAGCTGGAAAAAACCTTAGAACATAGAATGTTAGAACCAAAAGGGAAGTTAAAACGTAGAGTATTGGAGTCAGAAGGGACCTTCAAAGCTAGAACATAAAATATAGAATACCCAGTTCTGGGTGCAGGTTTTAGTAAGGTCGACTAGAATTCATCTAAATAAAGAGGCAGGGAACTGTACCATCTGAAGATCATTTGGAGGAATTGGAAGGTTTGTTTTTTGGTTTTTGGTTTTTGCCTAGGGGACTTAATAACACCATGTTCAGATGTTTGAAGGGCTGTCATATGAGAGAAGGATTAGACCCAGAAGTAAAAACTAAGAGCATTAGGTGGTACGTACATACAGGGGGCAGATTTAGGCTCAATGTGACGGAAAACTAACCGACAATAAAAGCTGTCCATAATTTCTAGGGGCAGCTTAGAATGTTTAATCACTAAAAGTTTCCCTTCAAGGTTGGATGGCCACTTGGGAATGTTGTCTAAGAAGAATCTTATTCAGTGTTAGGTTAAACTGGATGATCTCTGAGATTCCAAAAGGAGCTGAGAATGTAAAAATGTTAGGATTAGAAGGGAATTTAGGGATCGTTGACTCCAACTTCCCCTGACCCCGATTTTACAGCTAGGGAGACTGAGGCTCAGAGAGATAAAGTTATTTGCCCAAGCAACAATTGTATAAAGTGGTGAAGCCCGAATTTAATCTAGGTCATATGATTCTAGATCTAGTGTTTTAATATACATTGGTTTTTTCTTGAGAAGAGGGACTTCCCTCCTCATATGTTTCTCTGTATTCCACAAACCATATACAGACCTCAGTATACCCCGAGAGAGTTCAACTATACTGGAACCAGAGGACTGTCACAGACCTCACCATTTCCTGCAATCACCCAGACAGAGCAATGATACGTTAAGAACAGCATTTTTAAGTTGAAGTGGTCATACCACATACCCCTAATCTCCAAACTATATGGAATGAAAAGCTTTCAAAATGAAGAGACCAAGCAGAAGAGATGAAAATCTTATGGGAACAGGGTGAGATATATACCAATCCCATTGTCCTGTATGCCACTGGCAGTGTGCCAAGGATGCTTCCATTGAGCTGACACAGGATGGGCTTACTGCCTAATTCTTTTGTTCAGCTATATCTGCTGCCTCTGGACTGTTTCTCTATGAACTACATTTAAAAAGATGATGAAATGAGACAATAATAATAATAACCAGCATTTATATAGCACTTTAAAGTTTTTAAAAAGAGCTTAACGTATGTTATCTAATCTCATAGCAGCTCTGTGGGGTAGTTGCTAATATTATCCCCATTTGCCAATGAGGAAACTGAGGTTAAGTGACTTGCCCAAGGTCATATAACTAGTAAGTGCCAGAGGCTGTTTCAAACCCAAGGCCAACTGTTCTTCTACATTCCTGAGAGCCTTTTGTTGTTTTTGCCTTTCAGTTCAATTGTATGACTATAAATATGTAGAAAATCATTGGTAAAAAGCCTGCTGATTTCTTTCTCATTTTTATCAAGGTACAAGTTCACAAAAATTTGATACAGATGAGAAAATAGGTATATGGATCAGATGTTCTCTCAGTTGTGTTTTGTTACTAATGATGTTGCCCATGTCTTAAAAAAATGTTGGGGGGTATCTTACAAAATGATTCATCCATGCTTTTTACATTCTGTCACCTCCAGCACTGATTTCTTCATTGTGTAATTGGTCGTGTACAGCTGCTCTTCCCAAGGATATCATCTTTGTACTTGCTTAGATGTAGCACACCAGGAACTAAAGTATTAGGACCAAGTATCATAGTTCCACAGGCATTGATGAAAATAAATCATTATAGAAATGTTGAAAGATCTATTCCATTTTATTCTCTTTCTCTTCCTGGAAATTTTAGTGTGAAAGTTCTTAGAATACCGAGGGTCATTTTGATCTCATATCAACATTTTGATAGTCTCATATTCATTTGGGTGACTTTTGTTTTGGGAGGCAGTGATGTTTGCAGTCTTCCACCATCCTTCTCTGTAGTGTTTCCCAAATGTATTTGCATTGTAAACTTGCACGGTCCTTAGCTTCTATGCCTCTCCTCTTGCCAAAGAGATTGTATTTGCTGGATGAGGCAGTTCATGGTCTCTTTTGCTCGTGACTTTACATCAGCTGAACTTCCAGGGTGTGCACACACATGTATTTGTGGGACTTATGAGGAGGATAAAAGTTTCTGGGCACTTTTGATTCTTGGACCTGAGCTGTATTTTTCAACATAATTTTCTCCATTCTGTCCTTGCAGCTTTCTCTTTGATGTCATTGAGTGTCAAAACATATAGCGATTTGGTCTGGAGGATCTTTTCCAGTTCTTCACAGCA